AACTGAATCCAGGAGTTCAAAAATGTATAAAACACCATAGTCAATAAAAAAAATAAAGTTAGTAGCTTTTAAAGTCTTTTTTAAAAGCTAGAAAATTTTGAATCAAAACATTTAATATTTTTAACTACAAATAACAACATAATTTTGTCATTAGTTGCCAGAGAAATATAAAAACCACACACACAAGAAAAAAAAATTTACTACTACCCATTCAGCTGAGTTGGTTTACTCATTGTGGAATGGTTTAATCCTAGCTCTATTCAATTCACAGGCTTTAGCCATAACATAGATTCAGAGTGTTTCATGTAAGGTGTCAAAAGTCAATAACTTGGGAACTATGCTTCTCAAAAAAAAATTGATAAGAATAAAAGTTTAATATTTCTGAGATGGTCTTTGTAAAACCATAAAAATAAAGCCTTGCACATCTCTCCCATTTTGGGTGGAACAGGCAATAACTTTAAATGGAATTCCAGTGATTTTACATTTTTGGATTCTCCATTAAAAAATGATAAACTTATTTGAACATTATTAGAACATTTTTTCAAAAACATGATAATTTCAAATGTTATAAGCATATGCAATAATAAATTTTAAAAGATAACATTCTAATAAAACTGTACATTATTTAAGTTAATTAATTGAAACAGATTTCAGTTGTTAATGGTTAATTTTTAATCAATTCTTACTGTGGTTCAACAGCAGTACTCAGTTTTAAATTAATTTTTGAAATGATTCCAAATCATATATTTGGAAAATGTTATGAAATTGAAATGCCTATGAAATTGATCTTTCATGTCTACTCCGTTGGAGTAGACTTGAAAGATCAATTTCATAGGCACCTTATCACAGGACCTGACACCAATTAGTTATTTCCTATGGGATTTTATACAGAATAAAGATTTTTAATAACTGACCACAATTTAAGATATGAAGCAAAGAATAAGTAATGCATATGTTAAAATAACACCAGAAATGTTGCAGTCTGATGAAACTGTTACTCAATTACTGAAATGTTTAGAAGAAAATGAACATCTGAACATTTGTTAAATTATTGAAAAGTAAGAGAATAGAAATTAAAATCCAAAATCAAAACTGGAACAGATAACAATAAATTAACACCATTCACACTTTTCCAGTAAATGTGTTTAATGTAATAAAAATGTTTTTAGTTTATTTTTTAAACCTATCTCAGGTTTCAAACTAAAATTCCACAATTCCAAATTGGAATGTTTCAAACATTTGACGATGCTATTTATAAAAACTTTTAAAATATTATAACTTTGTTTACAGAAAGATGTATTTGATAATGTATTTTATATATTAATGAAAAAACAAGCATATAAAACTTTAAAAAATAATAATACAAATAAACAATAACAATAGCATATACCTACATCTTTTCATGTATAATTAATCTGCAAGATTAATTGAAGAATGACTGCCAAGTATTAGATTGGAATTCTGAATCCTTAAGGTTAAAACAACTATTTTTCTATATGGCATTAAATATATCTAACATTTCCAACATTCTTAGGCAATGTTCATCATAGACTCATTTTATTATTTTTGTTTCATTTATATTTACACATACTATGGGCTTATATTATAAACCTAAGCCAGGTTTATAAAATAAACAGAAAACATTTGTACATTTATTCATTAAACTCATTTGATGGAAAGTGTGAATGGTTATAATTTTACAAAAATAGAAATTAATTAGCACACAAAAAAAAATGTTATAGTTTTATTAGAAGAATCTTTCAAAACATATTACTATATGCTCATAACTTTTTAAATTATCATTTTTTTTAAAAAAACATTTTCAATAAAAGTTTGTTTATTTTAATGGAGAATACAAAAAGTAAAAAAAAAAAAATAGGAGGATTCTATTTAAAATTTTAAAGTTTCCTCCTTCCACCCTGAAAGCTTTATTTTTATGACCTTAAAAAGATCCGTTGAAAATATTAAACTTTTATTGTCATTAATTTTTCATTAGGAATGTATTTTTCAAGTTATTGACTTGTAATATCTTATGTGAAAATATGTATATCATCTTAATAAAATTACGTTTTTATATATTCCTACCTAAGTGATTTAATAAAATTTCTGATGTATTTCTAATGTAACAGCACATAAACAAAACATTTGTTTTCTGTAGCTACGCTATACCCTGACTTTGGTCTGGCATAACAACTTATACAACAGTGCCTGACATTGGTCTGGCATAACATTAGGCACTGTTGTATAAGTTGTAAGATTACACTCTCCACTAACACCACCTTAAGGAACAGTAAAACACTTCATAGTCTTGAAACATTAGAGTTTCACAATATCAATACTCCTTGCACAAACCTTTATTCCAGCACAAATTACTTATTAATTTAAACATTTTAAATTCTTGTTAAAAGGTCTTCAGATCTAGAATGCATCAAACTTTAGCAGAAATAGAATTTTAACTACAGATTAAATTTAAGCTTAAACATTTCTGACCATATTACATAAATGAAACGTTCTGAGTATAGATTACATAAATGTTCTTTTATTCACCTTTATATTAAAATCAGATGATCAGCTGAATTATCAGGGTATGATAAGGCCAAGTTAATAGGATTAGTGGAGTTGTTTATAATTATACAGTGGTACCTCAGGATATGAAATTAATCCATTCCGAAACTGAGATCGTATCAGGAAAATGTTGTAAGGTGAATCATTTTTTCCCATACGATTACATGCAAATCTAAATAATTCTTTCCAACACAAAAAACACACTCAAACTAAAGCTAGGTAGTACATTAAAACAAAAAAAAAAACTATAGTAAGGAAAACACTGAAAAATGCATTTTGTAGTTGTAAATGTATAAGTAACCATAATAGAATAATAACTGATTAAAAAAATTTAGTTTTATTTGCACTTTATCTTTGATGATAGATGACGGCGGAGGTGTAAACTGGTGGCGGAAGAGAGGGAGAAGGGAAATGATACTAAAACTTAACTTACATAACATAATGTAACAATAACTTCAAAATAACTTAGAAAAGATAAAAAAAAAATTAGTGTTGTTATATATATATATATAAAACAAAAAATATATTCAGCGTGTTGTAAATCTCATTCTTCTTTNATCTTTTCTGTTTTATATATATTTTTAAAATTTTTTATTCACTGCTTTTTGCTTTCTTTCCTTCACTTCCACCAGCACCTTCACTGGAAAGAGGTTGCTCGGTAATATATCTATCCAAAGAGGTTTGGCTTTGCCTACTTTTTAAAATGTTTCTAAAATTACTTAGGCAAATGTCATTACTCTGAGCAGCAATACAGCTAGTGTGAACCTTTTTGGGATGTTTCTTTTCAATAAAATCAGTCACTTTCTGATAATACTTTGACATTTCCTTTATCAAGCGAGATCCTTCCACAACGAAGCAAACGCGCGAACAGCGACCAATGAACAGAAGTGAATAAAAAATGGCGCTGTGAACTAATGTAACGTCATATGGTGAGTTTTTGTTCGTATCATGGAGCAAAAATATGTTCGAATTTCATGTCGTATCCTGAAAATTTTATATGCTGGGGTATTCGTATCCTGAGGTACCACTGTATATAATGCCGCAGCTTGCTCTTCCCACTGTGTCATTCATGGGGTAGAGATTAGCGGCTTGGCCTATCGAGCAGAGGTCGCCGGTTCAACCCTCATTGATGCAAGTTTTTTTGTGTGGGTACGTTCTCCCGGTCTGAGAACTTATGTAAATACCAACCAATTACCATGTTTCTACCATGTCTCTGTAGGATATAACAGCCAGCTCTCAGGCTAAGAGGGCTTCTTGTTCTTCTACTGCAAGCTGCAGGAGTTGTACATTGTCTTAGTTAATAAATCCCTTTGTGTTTCGAACGACTGATTGCCGTTTGTTCCCGCGACAATATAAACACATACACACAGATCTTTATATTATATTACATTGGACCAAATCTGAACTCATGAAACTAGAGTCATCAACATATAATTATTGTAGAGGGCATGTTGTAGGATCATTTGACTTTATACCATAGCTTCCACATATTGGATGAAGTTCCCTGGTCCTTGAAGTTTATCAGTTTGCCTTTTAATGCCGATTTATATATTTTTATTGTTTCAGTGTACTTTAAGATCAGAATGTTTGAGGCAGGCATAACAATCTTAGCTCTGTTCCAGTCCACCTCCACCTAGGACGCACCATACCACGTGCTACCAACGCTACGGTAAGCTCCTCTTTTTTAGACCGCAATCTCACGTTCCTCAATCCCTGCCACCTATGACGTCTTTAATAAGAAATTAAAACACATGGACATCGAACATGGTCGACCGTCTCCCAATCAAGGCCCGAGGCAGAGACCAAGCGGGTAGAGCCGAGACGGTTACACCTATCCCACATAATCTGACTTTAAAATATGACAAAGTATTAGAAATATATAAATCGGCATTAAAAGTGAAACTGGTAAACTTCAACAATCAGGAAAATTTGGTTTCCCAACATCACGACATTATAGAATGCTACCATATTAAACACATCATTGTTAGGAAATTCTTACATACAAACACATACACATAAAGCAGGTAAACAAACAAATTAACCATTTCTCGTGTGGTTAATTGTTATCAGAAGTGGAAATCAACTGTCTCCGAAAATTTCCATTTGTATAAAAAAAATTTTCTTAAATGCAAAAAGCGGGAAGTCGTCACCGTATATACGAATTCCGAAAGAAAGCGAGAATCTCCGTGGCTAAAACATCGATTTAACAAAAAGCAAAAACGGATGTCCATTTCTAACTCCTGTGAATTTAACTTTGCGCATTGCAAAAATTCACACGAAATTCGTATTTAGTATGAACCGGTGCTAAGATTTCGTACTTAACACCGGTTCATAAATTGTAAAAAGTCGCGCGATACGACTATTTTAGAGTGCACGCCTCTCAACGTAACCGGAATGACAAATTTGACCGCCCGAGACTTACGCAAAGCATTTACCTGTATCAGTAGTTTAACCAGTTCTAATGGATAACCCACCACCGTTATGGTTATCCTTCCCACCAATTCGTGAAACTCGGTTTTGCGAAAATTATTCCTCCTTCCTTCCGACATCTTTGCTTTTCCCTCGAAACAGCCGGTTCGCCGGATTCGAACCGCCAGAGGCCGCTGGCACCCAACAATCTAATAATAAAATGGAGAATTTCCGCGACGAATTTTTTCCACGCAGAAACTGCAGACTAATATCGATTATCCGTAAACAAACGTTAATTATTCGTCCAAATGGCTCATAGCCCCAGGCCTAGACCAAACACGGGAAGGGCCGTAAACATTCCTTTAGCGCCAGGTTTGAATTTCCCAAAATGTTTTTAGCTTTGGCGAAATAAATATGGCCATTATTAACTCCATCGCTATTTTATTCGAAAATGCCATCCTGGGTGACCTCGCCATATTACTCGTATGAGTATGGTATCGATACTCTTGTTTCGATATTTACTCGGTATCAGCAGCGGTTCTTAAGAATTTGTATTGATGGATCTGTAGTACAGAAATATCAATATGGATTGAAAAATTACATCATTAATTTTTCATCAGTAATAATTTTATTGATTTAAATTAAGACACTTACGTTAGATAAATAATTGCATATAAACGTCGTTTAAGGCAAAAGAGACAGCGTAGCCGACGATCTTTCATAACAGTCCCCTGAGAGAATGTTTATCATAATTCTAAGATCCGACGATTTTGGTATTTTTTAAAGCAGAACCGGCGCGAGAGTTTATGCCACCCGGGACAAGACATGTAAAGACTTCCCTTATCCCCTATAAAATTTTTTAAAATTGTTTTGAAATGACATACCAATTAGAAGTACCATACATTTGCCCATCAATCAATATTCAATTCGCGCTGTGTAATATTAAAAAAATAAAAAATATTTAAAAAATAAAATTTTATTTAAATGTATGAAAATCTGTAACCTTTGCCATTTGCCTCTGTATGCAAATGCACAGTTTGCCCATGCAGTAGCGCCGGCCCTGACTTAAAGTAATATCAAAACTATGTACAGTACTTCATGTCGGTTTCCTTGATCACAGCGATCCAAAATTATAAAACATACCGTATTTGAAATTAGAAGTTTTTTTGAATCAGTTTATTTCGAACGATTTTAAATATAATTTTTCTTTCCTTCGATGTTATTTACAGAAATCGTAAAATACAAATTATTAGATTTATTTACCTCGATACACCCTCTGAGAACTATAAAGGTATTTGTCTACGCTTATTGGAGCTCTGTCAGGCCACAAGGAGCCCACGAAAAATTCCTGGGTTCATTCTCCCGCATTCATCCAAAGTTTTTCAGAGTGAAATGATACAATTTAACCGCCTCGACTTTTTGGCCGTCATGAATTATTATTGGAATTATCTTTAAAATTATTTATGTTAGATTTACAGAGTGTTAATATTTTATTTTTAGTAAATTATTTAATTTGTGTTTTGTTATTTTCTTTGCGATATTTTGTTACGGAAAAGTAACATTCACTTCGTAAAAAATTCGATTAGTGTATCAACTATGGCAAACCTTTTACCTTTTCAAATTTGGCGTGTTAATTAAAAATCTCAGCGCGCTGCCAGCATCTCTCAGCATCTCTGTTCAGACACTCCGGCAACTTTCTGGTTACTGCCAGACAGGGGCAGATTTAGGTTCTTCGGAGACTTAGGGCTTATTGAAGTGCAACGGGGCCCCATTATTTGTTAGATTAACAATTTGTTTTTTTTTTCCTGATACCCAGGCAGTCAGCATTTATGTTCATCGAAAACGCCAGCGGTTGGGTCAGTTCCGACAGCATGTCATCGGAATGACGCTGAGGTTTTTAATTCGAAATTTGCTCTAAATCGTGGGTTAAATATTTAATTTATTTAATAATAAAATGGTTATAAATTTGGCTTTAATTTTTCAACTTATATAAGAAAAACAACAATAAATTGAATGTAAGTTAAAAGAAAATAATAATGTATTAACCGAAACAAGAGGTCAATGCAAAATCTGCTGTTAGCACGCTCTACTCAGGCCCGCCGTAAGCGGGCGTGCAAGGCGTGCACCGCACGCGGGCGGCACGTCTAGGGAGCGGCAAATCGAGCGATCGGTCACGTAATATTGAAAGTCATTGTCAGAATACCCACCCTACTTATAGCATAAGAAATGTCTTCGCATGGAGAAAAAACTCCGACCGGCGCGCAATTACTATATTCTTATTTATATTATAGCATTTACAGAGCCTCTATTGGCATTTATAAGAATTAAGATTCAATGCGAAACGTCTGTCGGCAGGTTGAACCATCCTGCGGCGCCCGAAAGCCATGTACCCATAGTCGTGCTCTATGACAGAAGTTGACAGGACTGGCGAAAATAGGGAATCCCCACAGAGCTTCCTTCTCAATTTGTACTTGTACGCATTCGAACAGTTCTATCGCATATCAAATTGCAATTATTTTGTTAATAATTCTTCTGACATGAGTCTAAGTATAATTAATGAAATTTTAACTTGGTTAGGATTTATATCTGAAGCTAAAAGAGGATTCAAGTAGTGAAACAGACATTGACGGTATTGATTTGTTTAATGAAATCAATACTTTAAAGTTGCATTTTCCAGAAAACCAGTCTAATGATCCACAAACACTATTACAATATCTTTTTACTAATGACTTAATTTCAACATTTCCGAACACAGCAATAGCACTAAGAATATTACTTACATTGCCGGTTACAGTTGCATTTGGTGAAAAGTCCTTTTCAAAGTTAAAAATTATAGAAAAACTATTTAAGATCAACAATGCACTAGCAAAGACTAAGTAATTTAGCTGTAGTTTCAATTGAATATGAAATCTCAGATAGCTTGGATACAAGAAAATTGATAGCAGATTTCACAAACATAAAGGCAAGAAGAGTTCAATTTCTGTAGATAAATATTTATATAGTTTTACACTTAAGTAAACAAAAATAACTTAGTAATAATAAATAGTTTTTCTTTGTAAAGTATTTATTTTCTTTTTTCACACCCTTATGAGACAACACTAAAGAGCCTNTTTACGGAAAAGATCACCCTGTATATTTAACAGATTTCAAAACTATGTATATAGTGTGAAAACAGAATCCTAAAGCTGTGGTGAAAAGATTTAATACTTTTCAGGACAGCTGTACAGGCCATTTATTACATATGATCTTCAGATAGAAAAACAAGCTTGGTCAAGCCGATGTGGTAGCACGCTCCACAAAAGCGAATCAAATACAGTCGACCCCCTATAACACTGTTGATTATTCCGTTTTATATGAATTCCATGATGTACGAGTCACTTAGATATTACAAATACGTGAGCCGTTCACAGCCCGGCACACGTATTTGTAAAATCTAAGTGACTCGTACATCATGGAATTCATATAAAACGGAATATTCAACAGTGTTATAGGGGGTCGACTGTATTTGATTCGCTTTTGTGGAGCGTGCTACCACATCGGCTTGACCAAGCTTGTTTTTCTATCTGAAGATCATATGTAACAAATGGCCTGTACAGCTGTCCTGAAAAGTATTAAATCTTTTCACCACAGCTTTAGGATTCTGTTTTCACACTATATACATAGTTTTGAAATCTGTTAAATATACAGGGTGATCTTTTCCGTAAAATCTCTAAACGCTCATAAAAAATAGAACTAAATGCGGTTTGCGTAATAATGCACAAATATATAGAACGATATCGCTCATTTGTTTCTATAATACCACAAGTAATGATGTGTTCCGCTATTGGAAATAGAGCTGTAGTAAGATTTTTGTTGGTGGAGAAACATTAGTTCCAAAAAATCACCGATAGGTAGCATCGGCATACAAAAGAAAACGTATAGACGTGTATTCATTTCATTCATTCATTTAGTATTTATTCGTACATTAACATGCACATCCTGGTCCAGCTCTTGCATTACCAGGGTTATAAGTTTACAAATAGAATTAAAAGACACTAGTTTTACATAATTCAATTTCATGAATTTTACATAAAATTTAAAAATTTAAAACTAAGTAACACTTTTTGAATTAGATGAAATAACCAAGAGCTTATAATAATTCATACATTGTATAATTCGAAAGGACCAGACTATGTAATACTTCAATAATATAACAGGTTGCACATTACCTCTAACTTAGACGTATAGACGTGTAGCTGGCGTTCAACCAATAGAAATAACAAGAGTATAGCTCTCTGGTAAACATTAGTTCTAGATTATGCCGCTACGGCAAACAGAGCCAATCGCGGCAACTGGATTTGTCTTTGTTTCAGTGTTTCGTTGTCTTTGTTGAAAATGGAATGTAGTATATGCAATTTAAAGTACTGTACAAGTATAAGCAAGGTTTAAGCAGATATATGAAAGAGAAGCATAAAACAGACTTTAACAGAAATAATGAAGTTATAAAATTATTTAATGTAATTTCTGTTCAGGTACAGTACATTTCATAAAAAAAATAGTAGTAACGTTACACTTCAGAGAGCTACACAATATTAATATATCTAATTATAATCAGACATTTAATTCATTTAGTGATTTTAAAGAATGGAAACAGAAATATGAAATAGAAAATACCGTTAAGTACATTGGGTACAGTACGTTCATAAAGTCGAACGAGTTAAACGATAATGACGTCATCGTTATTTTTATTTCGTTAGATTTTTCGAACAATTCGTTTATAACTAAATGGATGTTTCTAAAATCGAAGATTTTAGAAACATGAATATTGCTAGTGCAGCCTTATTCGAAATATTTTTGTTAGATCGCTTCAAGTGGACAGTTATTTCAATCATTTCACCTTTTAATTCACAATTTAAACACTCGAGTAGATTTAGAAACATCGATATCGTCGGGCGCCATTTTCTTAACGAAGTAAACTAACTCTTTCCTTCGTGAACTTCGTTAGTGTTTCGTTCGAAACGTCATTATCGCAGAGCATGCGCACTGAGCGAGACTTCTACTTTTCGAACGATTCGTTACTAACGCGTTTAACTCGTTTGACTTCACGAACGTACCCATTGTTCGCGTTTTTCAAGAATTATAGAGGACGCTACATTTTTACAAAATGGCTACTTTATCTGGGTCGTTTGTTACTAGTCAACATAAAATTAATCATATACTACT